ATTAGGGTCCCCTATTTTCGGAAACTCCCATTTCGTAATGCAGCCACAAGACGTGAAAAGGGCATGAGACATAAGAAATCATACCTCACGGATCATGTGATAGGCGTGGCATACCACCAAACCCCTGAGCATCCGCTACGGTCAAACTTTATGTTTAGAAAGCCACATTCCTGCACCAGAGTCTCAGACATTTCATAATCGAGGGCGACACTTAAGAAATTCAGGGAGTCCAGGAGAGTCTCAGGATCTCTCTTAGTTGACACATGGCCGGCCGACCCGGAAACTGCTTTCCCGCGAATTTGCCGCAAATTTGCTGGATTCACATCTGTGTCGCTTTTGCTTTGGTTCTGGCAGAAGTGGGCCCCTGCAAGTATCTCCAAGTTGCTCTGAAGCCTAAACTCTAAAACCGAAAACTTCAAATAGCCGCGAAGAATGAAATGCAGCGCAAAAAGAATGGAACCCCTTATCGGTAGCCCCTAGACACCTCATCCCTGTTCCTTAAATCCTCTGTCGAGGGAGGTCACGGCGTCACGCTAAGAAGCTATGCTTCGGGTTTATGGTGTAGGGTCCAGCACATCTTTTTCTGGCGCTAGAGGAGAACGCGGGCTGCCTCCTCTCGCATGGCGGATGCTGGATCTCAGGTTGGGCTTTTTGAATTCAAGGCTCAGGGTTTACATTGAAGTTTAAGAATGGCTGCTCAGTGAATTAGTGGTTCCACGGGGTGTTGCGTAACGGCTCTACTAGACTTTATGATGCGGCTTGCGGATGGCAAGAGCGCCATTTTTTGTTGGGCTGTTCGAGGCAACTGTAGGTTCTCCCGAGCCTGCCAAAATCCTGAACACGAGGATACTTTGGGGCTTGGAACAAGTACCCATTGTATTCTTTAGGGTTCCTCATTGTAGGTAAAACCCAAGCCCGGGTCGAATTATCAAGATGTCTGTACTGCCGATGGCATGCTTGCGGCCTTGCCTTGGAGTCCAAGGCAGCTGCTTATAGGGTGAGTCTGCTTTGAAACTCATGAGAACTTCAGGTACGACCATTCGAGGAGGGTTTGTGACATGGTCGCGGTCATCTTTAAGCAATAATAACATGACGTAGCCTACGTCGCGCGGATGTAGCGCTGATGTTCTTGCAGCTTGACATTGGATGACTGGCAGGCATACTTTCCGGTTCCTCGCTGCTGGCGCCAGCTTCATCAGGCACGGGCATCGATTTGTAGGGGACGCTTGCGATGCCACGTACCCAGCAGCACCTGTTGCTGTATTGTAAAGAATATTCTCGTGGCCCTTATACAAAGTGGGTGTTGCAGAAGCTAGAGAACGCGAACAAGGGCCTGCACTTGTACGCCAATATTCAGAGCCCCCAAGTGAAGTGAGAATCATCATTGTCAGGTTCGGCCTTAACGACGTGCAGTGGAGCCAAGGCCTTTCTGAGGGTGAAAACTGAGTTCCCAGGGGTTAGGGCGACGAAGGCTTAGTGGGTGTAGGATTAACAGGCTTTTAGCGTCCAGGAGTTCGTCGTTGTCGGGAGGAAATTATGAAATTTATTACTCGAGGTTTTATCTATGTTCGTGGCTGTTGGGGTTCAAGGTTGTGCATTAGGTCTTCACATAGTCTCCGCGATTTTTGCCAAGGGCTCATTGGGACAACTCGGGAACGAGCCGCAGGGGGCAGCTTGGTCCGTGACGTTTGACAAGCGAAGACCGTTTCAAACGCACAAGGCCTGAATTCTTGTAACGATCCCTATTTATTGTCCGTATATACCCATATAGTTTCAGGGCAGTTGCTCACCACGATAGCTTCTCTTCATCCAAAGTTTTGTTGCCTGCACATGTGGGGTCTCCTGGTAAAGTACTCAAATAGTATATGTGTTGGCCCCAAGGCACCGGACAGAAGTCCTTCATATACCTATTCGACACGTGTTGCAAGGGGCAAGAGGCTTATGTACACGTCCCTAAACCTAAACCACATACACACTTCTCTGTGTTGGTGCGGCAGTTGTCATGGCTCGAGAGTCGACCACCCAGAGTGTTCGACCTCGTGCGAAACACCTGGCAAGTAAAAGACCCCATACTGAAGCAGTACCTGTCACTGCAACTGTACAAACTCTATAAACTTCGTAGAGGTCGTCTCGGTTTGATTCACTGTCAGGGATATTGCGGTCAGCGCTTCTCATTGCTGCTGGTATTGAGATTGAACTAAAGCTCCACGCTGGGCATTAATCATTAATCTGTTACAGCTCCGGTTTTATGATTCAAGGTGGGCGCCGCGATGCGCAGCATTTAGTTATCGGGCACGAAGTTGCCGGAGAGCTGTCGCATCTTTGTTCCAGCCAGCCCTACACTAACCTGTCCTGCTACAGTCGACAAGGCTGTAGAGCATCAAAACTTTCGTGAGTTTCTAATTCACTAGGTCTTCTTTGATTCCCCACTTGATTCGCCAGGTACCTGTTTCAACCACCTCAAGAAGAGGCTTCAAGAACAGACTTACGACGGTGCTAACCTGCCTCAGTCTAGTCCACAAGCTTCGCATACCGTAAATCCTCGATCCCGGGCCCTTCCTACATGAGCCTTAAATGGGAGTTTCCGAGAACTCGGGGTACCTTGGTTTGGACTCCTTATAATAATGATCCTACTGTACTATTCAGGGTACTAGATCAGAGTCCCCTATTTTCGGAAACACAGATGCCAAAGTTGGTGTCTATGGGAGAGTTTTTTTGCGACTTCAGGAAATGGGCTCGGCGAGATCTTCTCCCGGAGCCCCTTGAGAGCAGGGTCGTGCGTATACTGTAGGAGTCTAAACATGTACGTAATGCTATAACTATCATAAGGAACCACCAAAATAGTATCGGTAATCTAATTACCAATACTGTTTGTAGGGTGCTCTTTAGTATAGTTATAGTATAATGTATCCCCAAAACCCTAATCTAATTATTTCGGCCCCTGTATTAGGGTCTATCGTGATGTGGAGATACTTGCAAGGTCTAAGAGTCTAAGCATTGGGGGGGAGGGTTATTGAAGTTCTTGCAAGGCAGCGTTTCGGGATGATCGGGCCTTTCACCTTGGGGTTTCAAGTGTTTGGGCTTTGGAGGTGTTTTGGCTATTGGTTGTTTGGAGTTGCAGAGCCTTGCTGCAGGGGCCATGGGTCGATGTAGTGACTGGTTTACATAGCGACTGGTTTCAATTCGTGTTTCATCACAAACAAAATCTCTTATGGGATCTGTAGCTACTGGTTTAAGTCAAACCGCTTGCACGGGTTGATAGGATTCTCTAAATTCCTTCTAGACTTCAAGCTAGCTTTTGTGGGCAGGCATAGGATGGTTGAGTCTTCCTGGGATCTCGGGTTCCTCAGAGACTCAATTTGGGCTTAGGGGTGCAATTTCGGCTTCAGCTTCTCCCTTTAGCCTTGACCCCTAAACCCTAAACCCTAAGCCCTAAACCCTAAACCTGCTGAAGCCTGCTCCCTGAAGCCACCGCCGCCGGGGTACATTCGGCCGCAGGTTTTTTTGGTCAGAGAGAAGCCGGTCCCAGCATACTTCTGCAGTTAGGAGCATGTGGACAGCTACGATAATTGCCAGTCACATCCAAAGAGCGACCGTGTGTTTGTCGCGATGATAAGATGGAGATGATGACGATGGTTATGTTGGTGATTTGTTGTGATGCTGCCTTAAGACTGCACGTGCTTGTTCCCACTTCCCGAGGCAGCGCCTGCTTAGCAGTGGACGTGCCTCGGCACCGCAGGAAGCACATGATGCACACAATCCCGTATCTCTGCGTTGATCCTGCGATCGGCAGCACCACCCCGCCTACCCGAAGGGCCAAGCATCGTCTGCTCTACAGGTGAAAGGGAGGCTTTCGCGAACGAGCATCTTTATAGTTGCTCTGGTGCAGGGTTTGACGGTGTGGCAAGCGTCTTGTATTCAGTGACGGGGATTTTGTCGCTGTGGCAATCTTTCGTTTTGCAGCTCGGTGGAGGGCCCGGTGTGTGGATTTCCTGCGATTGACCCCTCAAGGAGCAGAAAACTGCCAAATGGCCTGGAAAGCAGTACCCAAACCCCCAAAAGTAGATAAAATCATGGCCCCAACACCCATAAAAGGCTATTCTTCTGCATACTTCTGGGGTCTAGGAACGAATATCCAACAAGCGCGATCCCTGTGCTTTGGCCTAGGACGTGCTGTCGCGGAGCTGGGAATCCTGGCTTCCAACTGAAACTGAGTCAGATCTGCTGCCGAGTTTGCAGATCCTGGCCTGGTTTAGAGGGTTTAGGGTTCTCAATGTGGGAATTCGAGACTGCATGCTCAGGACTATGTCTGCAGTTGGTTGGGTTTTTTTTCGGGCGAAGGTCTGGCTATGGATTTAGTGGGATCTTTACTTCGAGGCCTTGTGCAGTAAGTTTCAAAGGGAGGTCCGGCAGAGGAGTTTCAAGGCAAAGCTCGAAAGGCAAAGCGCGACCCAAGCAAAACCCAGCAATTTCCTCAGAGTGAGCTTAGTGCTTTAGGACCTAGAAGCTGCCCCCACGCTGTAATAGTGACTATAGGGATGATATTAGGGCCCTCTTCTATTCCTATTGTACCACTATTACAGGGTGGGGGCAGCTTCGAATTTATGACAGGCAAAAGCCTGAGCCTCTGTGAACACCAAGCCGTCAGCCCTGAGACGCCCGTCCCCTTCCTAGAGATGTCCTGGCATCCCTCGTCTGATCCGTCAGGTTTCGGGCTGTGACCTTCAAAACATGGCGTGAGAAGAACCCCCTACCTACCCTGAAACCTCCCTGATAGGGCTCCTTAGGACGATTGCCTAGGTACTGTTTTCACCCTGGCATTTTTGGATTCCCTGAAGTTGCCCACCTCAGCTCGGAGAAAGGATATCCTGCCACAAAACCGAAGCTCCTATCTTAGCCTGCCATGACTCAACCTTTAGGCCTGCTTAGGATTCAGAAAGAGTTCTTGCCACGATCCCATGAGGAAAGCTCGCGGCAGACTTGTCCCGGAACTTGCTGCTATGGCACCGCCAGGGGGCGTTCTCTGCAATCGGCCACCCGATGCAGCATATGACGTGTGGACAAACGGATTCAACTCAAGATATGCCTTCTCGCTCTGACGTCTTAAATGTAACACAGTACATTCAAAGAACCCATTTATTATTATTATTGTTACTATTATTATTATTACTATAATAATTATTATCATTATTATCATTATTATTATTTTTACTATTCTTCTTCTTCTTCTTATTATTATTGTTATTATTATTATTATTAGTCTTATGATCTTCTGGGCTGTTTTCTCTGTCGTTTGCAGCTTTCTAGCGAGGAAGTCCCGGCTTGGCGGGGTGGAGTGCAAAAGTGATCCGAGCCCAAGGCATGCTGTACACCTCACGTCGACGCCACTCTCCCTCTCTCCGCCTCTTTGGACCTCAAGGTTGCAGTGCGCCTCGATAAACTGCAAGCGATAAACTTCCAGCGAAAACCCCGCAGCCTGACAAGGAAACCCGTAAAGCCTGTGCCGTAAATGGCGCCTAATCCAGACATCGGAACCCTCTAAATTAGGACGAAATCCTAAGCTCTGAAAGGCCCTTCACCCGATACACCCTCGACCTTTAACACTAAACCATACTCGACCCTATACCAGGCTGTCTAGTGGTACACTTTTTTGCTTTCAGGGTTCTGGGCTCCTATTATAAAATAAGAAGCCGAGAAAAGTATACACTTTTTCCCCGTGGGTTACTGAACAGCCTAGTATAGGAGGCAAAAGTCAAACTCGAAACCTTAAACCCTAAACCACCGAAAACCAACCTCGGCCGCTCAAGCCGGTGCCCAGGCAGATCGTCGACTCCCATGCTTGGAGCGCTAAGAAGGCCTGGCTTCTCGTGATGGGCTTTAGGGATTGAGGGTTTAAGGGTTTCGTGTTTTTTTTTGTTGGGAGGGTTTAGGGTGTAGAGTTTATTACATGGGGGTTCAGCAAAACACTGCGGCGTTGAAAGCGACAGAGGTCCTGGCGCGACATTGCAAGCCGGTTGCAAAGGGTTGCGGGACTTAAGGTTTAGGGTGTTTGGGGCTGTGAGTTTCGACTCTGGGCTGCAGGGTGTTACTGGCCTGGTCGTGCTTCTCTCAGCTGACTCGTCTCTAAAGTTCTATAATAGACGTTCTCGTCTAGACAGCTGCAATCCACTCAGCCCCGCGCCTTCTAGCTTGGTCTGTTGGGCGCGCGTTCTGGAGATCATCACTGCATGTGGTTTTGCCTCAGGGCCGATTGTTATGGACTGGCTCATGCTGGGCAAGGCGCCAGACCCGAACCCTGCGACGGTAAGGTCTTGATACAAGAGCCCTAGATTGCATGTGAGCTCCTATGGTTGGAACTCCTAATTGAACCTTGACGTAGACATGGCACACTTAGACTTACAGTTCGAGGATAGAAGAAAACCCTATACATTGCTGAACCCTCTATACTTTGATCCCAAACCTGTTCGTTGTTTTTTCGGATGCTGGAAGAAGGAGGAGCGTCTGATGCAAGAACGAAAATCCGACACCCCTATATGTTTGTTGGGGTTGGAGGTTTAGAGCTTGTCAGTGGTGTCACCATTTCGACAAATCTCATCGAGCCTGCCATGCCTGGAGACTAGATTCTAAACCCTAAGCCCCTAAAACCCTGGACACTAAACCGTAACCCTGAACATGGACAACTGATGGTAAGGGTAGTTGTCAGGAGGTCTGCCTCAATAGAGGCTCGCTAGACTCTCGGCAGGGATAGAAAAAGGCTCTCAAAACAAACTCAAAAAAACCAACCCGAACCCTGAGCCCTGAAGTGGCTGAGGGTTTTTGGATGTCGGGGGTCAGACTGGGCCGCAGAGGTGTCCAAGTTCGAACTCCAAGAGCTGTGGTCCCATGTTCTGAAGGATCGCAAGGCCAGGCTTTGGGGTTTGGGGTTTAGGGCTTACTGTAGGCATAGTCCAGGTGTAAAAAGGGCTTACTGTAGGGTTTAGGGTCTAGGCAACTTGGAGGCACTTCAGAGAGACCTCGTTCAAAAAGGATAGAGGAGGTTTGGTTTTGGGCTTGTGTGGTTGGGGGAGGGGGAGTGGGAGCGTAGTGGCTTGGGCTTGAGGGGGGAGGCGTGTTCGGGTTGAGGGATTTGGGTTGGGAATTCTGCGGCTGGGTGCTCAAGGGCTTATACTGGCTACAAGTTAACATCCATAGCACATCGTAACATATAACCCTGACGTATAATCAGATATAATCATATATATATATATATATATATATATCTATGTATACATATATATATATATATATATATATCCTTGCGGGCCGGCCGTTACTGCCGTACCGGGGGACCCCGACGAGTAACAGTATACTAACATACAACCGCAGCTGTACGGGTGATATGTTATGCGTCGGGGACACCCCCGTACGGCCGTATCGGGCCTGTATAAAGAGTATTATAGAGTTATATGTTATACGTCGGGAACTCTCCAGACGGCACAGCGGCCCCGTACGGGTGCGTATACGAGTACACGTTCTACTTCGGAAGCTTGCATGTTATGCGCAGGTGGCATACAGACTACGCGAGACAGCATTGCTCTTATGCCATGATAAGTTGCAAGGGGTTTAGGGAACTGCTCGTTTGCTCGTTGTTTGCAGCTGCTGAGCATGAAGTCCCTCAGAGATCAGAACCGTCGTCCTGCCTAGTTTCGCGTGCTCGGTGATGAACAGTTGTTGTTTCGAGCTTAGGACTTAAGCCCTCGCACCTCACCTGAACTGTTGCTAAACGCATGTTTACTTTCTTGTAGTTTTGCGGGCCGTAATACAGTGGGGATTGCTGTGAGCGCTCGTGAAATCCTAGAGGCTCCAAGCCACTCTGCATCTTGATCCTCAGCTACTCGCTTCCTCATGTGCTTGCGAGCAGGAGTGCCGAAACTTCGAACCTCTAGCTGACTCTAGCTACCCTGAATCTTGAGCCGGCAGTGCGTAACCCAAGCACTGAGTCCTGAATCTTGCAATCACCTGCTGACAGAGGTGTGAATGATAGCAGTGTTAGCAAATACAATTACTATACACATAGCACAGGATATAGACTTTATACGGGTATATGTTCATGCACACACACCCATACAGACGTATAAGGTAGTGAGTTACTGAGATGCCATCTCGGCTTCAGGTTCTCGTGGTGATCGGCAGTGCTTTGCAGGCGAGGCGTGCACCACCTGGACTTTCTAGAGGTATGTAGAATGAAAGCATCTTATGGGTGTTGCGGCCATTATCTTGCCTATGTTTGGGGGTTTGGTAGAGCTGAGGGATCGAAGCTTCGGTACCGCAGCCTGGGCTCAGCCGTTGAGGGGGGTAAAGTATAGGAGAGCCGGCCAACGATGACCTAAGGTTTATGGTCTAGGTTTCGAGTTTTGCAAATGTTGCTCTAGGGTTCAACAACTGTTCAACATTTTATGGTTCTTGAAAGCATGGTGTGCACCTGACAATGGTTGTGCTTTCCCCTTACATGAACTCAAGAGTACTTGAAGCTGCGTGGGATCATGGGTACCTTACAGTTGGAAATAGATTAATCTATCGGTCTGTTTATCTATCTGCTTACCACACGTATGTGTATAAATGTAATTACAAATATTCATATGCACACACACACATATATATATATATATATATGTACTTATACTCACATGCAAAAATAAGCAGTATGTGTGTGTATATATATGTATATGTATATGTATCTATGGGGCTAACCACCGGTGAGAGATCGGGATCATGGAGAGAAACACCAGGAGTTCAAGGCACGCGGAGGCTTGACGACCCCGGACTCCAAGGCCTTGACCCCATAAAACCGTTTAGGGGGAGGGGGGTTTAAGGTTTAGGGTTCAGGGTGTGCAAAAAAAAGGTTTACGGTTTAAGGTTCAGGGACCGTCATGGCAAGTTCATAGCAAAATCTGTTATTTGGGGTGCAGGGTAAAGAAATACCCCCCAGGGCCCACGAATAGACCGCCTCAGCCTTAGCTCTATTTTTCCTCCCCATGACAGGTCGACGCGCTAGAGCCAATCTTGCATCTGGCAGCCGGAGCCGTGCCTCGCCCAGGGAAAGTGCGAAGCACATGGGAGTTTCCGAAAATTCGGGGTACCTTATTTGGGGCCCTACTATATAGGGTACCATATTAGGGTCCCCTATTTTGGGAAACTCCCATCTTTGCCCCTCTGATTTAAGGGTGTTCATGCTTGGACTTAAGGATGTGTGATGCTTTTTGACTGTGACGGGGTTTTGGTTAGTCAGCTGCCAGCTACCTTCCCGACAAGGCCTGGGCATAAATCGCTTCACGTTTCAGTATCTTAAGCCTTCTGGCCCCATACCCAAGATTCCAAGGGCTGAGTAGACTGGCAACCACACTTTTAGGTTTTCAGAGTATATGTTTCTTCTCAAAATATTAGGTCTGTGGTGATCAAAAGAACTCCAAATCCTTAAAGCCACGCACCGCTCGCCCGTCCGCAAATCTCCACGCCTCAGTTCATTGCCGTGAACTTTCAACATTAATGTAGGGGCCTAAATAAATACCAATACTATTTTGGGGGTTCCTTATTATGAATATAGTATACCGGGCCCCAAAACCCTATTCTTAATTCAGGCCCCTACATTACCATGCCTAAACCTTCGTGGCCAGCCGAAGTTGAACAGGTGATTGCGGCTTGCCCTCAGCACATCATGATGCTGGACAAACCCGGCTAAGCGACCTCAACATTATCTTGTCTGCAAGAGTCGGGTGATGCAGTACGTATCTTGAGGCCGCCTCGTTAACCCTATGTCCAGCCGCCGCCCGTGGGACTTCCTAATGTCTGTCCAAACCTTGTGAGCTATGAAACCTGCAGGCCACAACACGCACCGCTCCGCATGTTGCTTACAAGCTTCTCGCTCGCTCCGGAGAGCTGGATGTTAGAATTACCTTAATGTTTCGTCATTATATCAGAACCAGGGCATTGCTGACCATACTGTCTGCATTTTATGAGGAAAGCCCCTGAGGACCCAATTTAAGATCTCGAGGCTGTCTACTTCGTCCGGGATGCGGAGCTGGAGGACCTTTCAGGTGTGCTACCTGGGTTAGGTAGCTTCTTGTATCTTCTTGTCATACTTTGTCAGTGTTTTTTGTCGCCGCTCCCCATAGTGTTGGACCTAAGCGGGCTCAGCAATAGGCCAGCTTATGTGCAGAAGTGCCTCAACGATAGGTTTGTTGGAATCTTTGGGCTTCTTATCTAAAGCGAGGATTGACAAATTTACAATTGAGCTGGGGCTTCCCTAACACAGGTTTTCCGAGCGTTAGACTAGGGATTCTTCCAGCAGATGGGGCAATAAAGCGGTCTGAACACCAATTCGTCATGAACCTGCATCGTCCGGTAGCTTTATACTATTACCGCATACCACCGAAAACCCTATTCCAAGCATCAAGACCCCAGATATGACTTCTGTAGATTCGGGATACCTCCGTGGGCGACCTCACCTCACCTGAGCTGGAGCAAACTCGGACAGACCGGACTTCACACCCTCCCTTGCCCCCACCCGCCACCGCCTTGGTGTACAGGGAACTCCAGAAAGTTGGAATATGGTTTCAGGGTAGGATACCTTATAATTTACCATAAAGGGCTTAGGATAATCATATTCCAACTTTCTGGCTTTTACCTTAGACCTCTCAGCATGCTTGTCGGGGCGAGGCATTCAGGATCTTAGGATCTTCAGGTTGAGGGTTCCTGGGCTCCTAAGCCCTGAGCTCTTTAGCCCTTTGCGCAAGGGGTTTGGGGTTCAGACCGTTTAGGGTTGCGCGAGAGAGAGAGAGAGAGAGAGAGAGAGAGAGAGAGAGAGAGACCCCGTACTGCCGAATAGTTGGGGGAGACCACGGATGACTCCCTGATACCCGGCAGGTTACGCAGGTCATGGTTTAGCACGGTTGGTTGGGACGCGAACCAGGGGGGGTTGGCCTCCGGGCCGGGGCGCATGCTCGCTTGTGCCCGGACCACCTTCGCAAGCAAGCAAGCAATAGAGAGAGAGGGAGAGTGTTCCAAGCCTTTTAGGTGTGCTCAGAAAAGGCGGAGATCGGAGCACCAGCTGCGAAGTTTCAGAGTTGAGTGGAAGGTCGAAGGCAGTGTGGCTGGCGCGTGGGGTCAGGCTTCAGTTCGCTTACAGGCAGGGTCGACAGCACGGGATCAGGCAGGCAGGGACCATTCGAGGGGCACCCGACTCAGTGAATAACGTGTAAGCTTGATGCTTTTACTGTTGCCGAGCCGTGCTGTGGCAAACCCAGTCCAAAGTGCACAACTCTGAAATGGAACGGGGAACCAGGTGCTCAGCTTACTCACTCTCTTGTTTCAGAAAATAAAAAGGTGACCCGTCCACTGCCCCTGAAAAATACGGTCTTGTATAGATCGAGCCCATCCATACCAAATGATGGATGGGATAGCGCACACGTGCGCGGCAGGAGGACTGCTCCTGCTTCAAACCCCGAGCAAAGCAAAGAGGTACACATGTATATCTATATATATATATATATATATATATATATATATATATATATATGGTCACCCCCCCAAGATCCACACCCGCCTCTTCCATGCTATTCCACAGCTTGCTTCTCTACATTGATCCACTACTCATATAGGCAGAAAACACTGTAAATACCGATAAAATCGTGCTTTTCGTCATGTGCATCCAAGCCTTGTTGCTACAAGTCGCGGGTTTGATATCTGTAAAAATCTGGAGCCGAATCTCGGCCGGGGATTTATGGTAGTTTATGTGTTGGACAAGCTGAAATGCTGGAGGGCGTGCTAGTTTTGTTCATGTAATACTAAAAAACCTAGTGTTTTTTGCATTTTATGGTGTGTTATTTAACAACATTCCTCTAATAATAAAAATACTATTGTCTCTCTTATGAAAACGTCTGCGTGCGTGGGCCATCTCTTTCCCGCTGCTCGTGAAGCGTCCGATTCTGATGCGGCCTAATCGCTCTAGCGTTTGATTTATGAGTTACGAAATACAAAGAGCTCCTTTCATGTCCTGTCCATTATACATGAAGGAAGTCGAATATACGAGCGCGTTTATTTTTGAAGCAATACTCCAATAGTTGTTCTTTGCCTCATAAGAAATGGGAAAGCTCCCCTGGAGTTGAAAGGTTCATGTGCATATGCGGGCGCACAAGAAGGCTCGTCTGCAGCAAAGAGTAAGAGAGCTCTTGCAACGTTCCAAACATGAAGCAGGGCTGTTCATACTTATCAAACAAGAGTAATGAAAACCGTTGCTGTTCCAGAAGGCACATAAAACATTACTTCCAGTCCTTGACAACGGTTGAAAGCACCCAATTATCCAGTCCTGGACATCAGAAAACACTGTAATGCTAAAAAAATTCAAAAATTCCCAACCCTGAAACTTACAAAACACTGTAATGCTCAAAAAATTCAAAAAATTCCAAAATTCTGGCATCTATGGCCAGGCCGGGGGCAGATTCCTTAAAAGTTTGGAATTTTTTGAGCATAGCAGTGTTTCGTGCGTTTCAAGGCTTGGAAAAGTTGATTTTTTTTGAGCATTACAGTGTTTTGTGAGTTTTAGAGCACGAAACACTGCTATGCTCAAAAAAAGTGGGCTTTGAGGCTGTGAAAAGTTGATTTTTTTTGAGCATTACAGTGTTTTGTGAGTTTTAGACCACGAAACACTGCTATGCTCAAAAAAAGTTAGCCTTGAGGCTGTGAAAAGTGTATTTTTTGAGTATTACAGTGTTTTGTAAGTTTTAAACCACGAAACACTGCCATGCTCAAAAAATTCCAAAATTTCCAACCCTGAAACTCACGAAACACTGTAATGCTCAAAAAATTCCGAAAATTCCACAATCCTGGCATCTATGGCCAGGCGGGGACAAATTCCTTAAAAGTTTGGAATTTTTTGAGCATAGCAGTGTTTCGTGCGTTTCAAGGCTTGAAAAAGTTGATTTTTTTTGAGCATTACAGTGTTTCGTGGCTTGAAACTCACAAAACACTGTAATGCTCAAAAAAATCAACTTTTCACAGCCTCAAGGCTCACTTTTTTTGAGCATAGCAGTGTTTTGGGGTTTAAAACTCACAAAACACTGTAATGCTCAAAAAAAATCAACTTTTCCAAGCCTTGAAACGCACGAAACACTGCTGTGCTCAAAAAATTCCAAACTTTTAAGGAATCTGCCACCGGCCTGGCCATAGATGCCAGAATTTTGGAATTTTTGGAATTTTTTGAGCATAGCAGTATTTCGTGGTTTGAAACTCACAAAACAGTGTAATGCTCAAAAAAAATCAACTTTTTACAGCCGCCAAGCTCACGAAACACTGCTATGTTCAAAAAATTCCAAACTTTTAAGGAATTTGCCACCGTCCTGGCCATAGATGCCAGAATTTTGGAATTTTGTTGGAATTTTTTGAGCATTGCAGTGTTTGGTGAGTTCTGGGGTTGGGAAGTTTGGAATTTTTTGAGCATAGCAGTGTTTCGTGCGCCCCATGCCCTAAGAACCACGATGGCGTGGATCTTGGGGGGGGGGGCGAGCTTATATATATATATATATATATATATATATATATATCATTAGATAGATAGGGAGAGGAAGAGAGCGTGAAGAAACGGGCTGTGAGGGTTTGCTTGTTGAAGGTTCTTCTGCCAGGTCTACTCGAAACACTCCGGAGGCATTCAGCCGACTTCAACACGGTACCGTGTGCTGGATTTATACGTCTCCTATCAGAGGTTGATACTCCTTCATCAAGGATTTTCTGGAGGTTCACGGTGAGCTTTTCGACAGGGCTTGGGCCGGATTGAAAGGCATTTTGCAGAGTGTGACGGTTTGCTGGGAGGGCCGGTTTAAAAGCTTGGAAGCGTTCAGGGCTTAGTGAGTAAGCCCAGACCCTTCACTGACCCGGTTTGGATGATTGGATGCTGGGGGTCTACGGTGTATACGCAGCATGTGAAGGCCCGACCTGGCGAACTTCCCGGGTTGCCACCTTTTCCCAAGGGGTTCGCACCTTTTCCGAAGGCCCAGCGCACACCCAATGCTTAAAACTCGGCGCCCCATCCGATTACGTACACATACAGTGACATAGAGTCAACATACAAGGAGTCTCAGGGCCATGAATGACTACCAATCATAAGACCAGCCCAATAGTAGGAGTAATGAGACAATAACTAGAACAATACCAACAACAATTTACAAATCATCATACATAGATACATAAATGCGTGCATACATACATACATCGTACATACATACATGCACCTTAAATCGCAGAATGTCTTGAACCCTGAAGCTGCTCTTCAAAAAACCCTGCAAGCTGCTTCTGCACCTGGTGGGGTGTACCTTGCTTCCGTCATGTGCATGAGATGCCGTGCGGCTTGTACATTCTAATTTGCATACTGGGTTCTCCGACTTGTTCATGTGAAGTCTTTGTCGCTTCCGCGTTCAACAGTCTCTGTTGCGCTGGCAAGCAAGCACCCCCTTGATGCTTGAAACTTTTCGTTTCTTCTGGGCACCAAGGACTAGGGGACCGCGCGGAAGGATCAACAGGTCCTATCCCTCGTCCTGACCTCTAGAGTTCACAGAGCTCCCGGTATGTAAAGGACTGGCACCAAAACACATGAGTTAAGAACCTTCCCGGTCTTTCTCGCCCAAAGATTCGCCTGAAGTGAGGCTTTTAAGGTTTCTGTGCTTCCTGAATCCTCAGAAAGGAACAGGGGGTCGACCAAAAATTTGCATTGGATCCGGGGAAATATCCGAAATCAGATACTTAGATCCCCAATACCTTTGAACCTTTTTGGGTTCTTATAATTTAGTAGGAATCGGAAAGTGTGACCTACTATTTCTGTGGCTCGTTGGGGTAGTAGGTATGGTTGCGTAGTATGCCCTCGTTTACTCTCCCGGAGAACCGTACTGGACTACGTACTCCACTTAGACCTTTCGGAAGCGAAGCATTAAGGCATAACATCTCATCCAACCTGAAAAACTCCTACAACACACATCGTCTCAGTCTCTACTCTAAGTGTTACTATAGGCGCCTAAATTTACTGATGCAACCCTTCTCCGGTTGTCAAGGCCCCTGTACTGTAGCAAAGGACGACCTTGTGGAAGTCTCGGACTTCTGTGGGATATAGGTCGTTTGTATGTATGTAAGCGTGTGTATACATACATATAATATATATGTAAAAATTCTATATCTATATCTATATCTATATATATATATATATATATTTATTTATATTTATATTTATTTATTTATTTATTTATCTATTTATTTGTTTTTATATATATATATATATATATATATGTGTGTGTATAGGTGTGTGCGTGTATTCGTAAGCTGGTGTTTATACATATATACATATGTACACGCAGAGGCTGAAAGCCGTAAACCCGGTAATATTGTCCGAGTTGCGAGAGTCCGAGCCCCCCAAACGAATGAGACTTTCAAAACCTCGAAACCCCGAATTGCCAAAGAAGTTCTCAAAAGCCCAACCATCCTCAACCTAGTCCCCTCAACCCCTAGCACAATGTTTAAAACATGGTTTCGGGGCGTTACGATCCCCAGCGCAATGTTTTGAGAGAAGACCTCAGAACCCCCCCAAACGCACAGGTGCTACTCGCCATCGGGTCGCGGTCATCTGCCCTTTTGTCCGCCGGTCTCGACCCTTGTTTTTTCATGTGGGCCTCCAAATAGCGCAAAGGGCCTTAAGGTGTAGCCGTGTTGAACGGACCACACAGAAAATACTAATCAAGTCGAGTCAGTAGAAACCCCACTCGAAACCCCTAAAATCCTACTAAAGCAACAGAGATTCGGAAACCTCTAAATCGGGTGTGGAGAGTCTAAGGCCCCCCCCAGCAAACTCCAGAGACCTCGAAAACCCGAGCAGAATCAACCGATTCGGAAAGGGGCGCGTACTTTAGGGGCTTGAATAATTACCTATGCTTTCTCGGGGTTCCTTACTGCAATTAACGTGTAATGAGCCCCGAAACCCTATTCTAATTATTACGGCCCCTATATTAGAATGCCTCCGAGAGGGCTGGGCGGGATGGGTAGCGCACGGGCCGTGGAAACCGCGATAATCAACGGGGTTGGAAACTGCTGTAGCAATAAATTCAGAACTGCAGAAATCCCACAACTGCTACGCACTATGTCGACGACTACACTTCTCTTACTGCTAGTACTCTTGCTAGTCCCAGTGCAAGTACTAGTACTTGTGCGAGTAATACTGGTACTGGTGCTTGTGTCCTTACTCGTGCTATTGTTAGCACTGGCCCTGTCTCGCACTGAGGCGTCGGGTGTTAAATACAAACTTTGCGGCCTAAGTTTTCGATGCTCTTTGGAAACTTAAACCTAACATCCTAACTCGAAGCGGGTTTGCGGCTCTGGGGTTTAGGGTTTCAGTGCTCAGACTGGGACACTCGAGGCGAGTCAAACTTCAAGGTTTGCTCCCGAAGCAGGAAGTACTTCATCGGTTTGCCATCGTTGCTTCTAGGGTTTGGGGTTTCAGGTTTCGATCTTTGTTTGTGTACGGCCGTTGAGTTAACATGAGGTGTTTGTTACACGGTTTCCCGTACCAAGAAAAGCTTGACTGATGCATGCTCAGGACTGCACCGTGCAGACTTTGGACGTCGGAGCCCTGCGAATATCGCCTGCCCCGAGGTCCAAAGCTGGAGCCATGTAATGTAGGAACCTGATTAAGAAATCCCGGCCCTGTAAGCCCATCATCTTCGGACTCATATGAAGAACCCTATTAAAGACCCAGGGTTCATTAATCAAATTCCTACAGTAGCATGCTGACCACCTTTGGAGGTTTAGGGTTCTTGTAGGGTCTAAGGCTTAGAGCCGTGGAGCTGTTTTTTTTCAGGGTTTCAGTTGTTGTCCTCCTATAGTCCTACAGGATGGAGTATTGCATTCTAGTGTGTATTGCCTTTATTGGTTCAGACAATCAGAAAGGCATGAGGGGGCCACAAGGCCCTATGAATTATGTGTTAGGCTCCATCAGCATTACGGTAGACGGCTTGCACCCGAAATGCTCCGAGGTGTTGCCGCATTCAGGAAGCTGTGCTGATCTGTACAAGCCTGAGGGTTTAGGTTCTGATCTTCAGCTTAATTCGCCACATTCAATTTCAAAGTCATTGCTTCCAGCTGGCCTGGCAGTTGCAGGTAGCATGCAGGCGCACGGCGTGCGATGAGATCTCGACTGTTTTGCGACAGGAGTAGAGGGATAGTTTAGGAGGGATGATTCAAACCCCAGAAGAAGCCTACACTGTAGCCAGAAAACCTCCAGAAAATTCATCGGAGCAAATAAGCTCTGAAGCCCCGACTGTTCGGCAGGCAGCAACCCGTACCATCGCCTCTCACGACAGCAAATGCCGATAGCCAGGCGCGGGCTGATATGACAGCTGCCAACTTATGTTCCGATTCCTCGGTTCACGGCTTATTGGGTCGGGTTTAGGGTTTAGCGTTCAGGTGCTGCAGAATGCAGACCATGCAGAAGGTTGGCAAAGAAAAAAGGCATCAGCCCAATCCGGATCAAGATGTCTACAATTGGCACTCCCTTGCCTGGTGCAAACCGAGTGCCGGCCAACTTTAGACCCTGGAGTGTGATCAATTGCCGATGTCATAGGCTCTGAGTGAGGCTTAGGGTCTAAGGGAACACACAAAAACACCTGCCGCCACCCAAAACGTTTGTCTGCATTCTTGGTTTAAGAGAACAGGGGACCTCCCCGCGATGAAAATGTAGGGATCGTCGTTTGGAGACCCGAAGATGGGTTCCGGAGCTTTGAGAACCCCGCACATGCCCCATGCTGAGGCCTCGTATGGAGGTCTGCATAATGCGCGCTTAACACCCCTAAACCCTAAACCCTGTATTCATCCCTTATGATGGATCCCTTTAAGGAACCCTTACAAAAATCCCTTTAAAGGAACCCCAAGGCATCCCCCTCATGTATGCCAGGCGGCATGGGCTTCCTTTCCGAGGCAAGGTCTCCTATTGGGGGTTTCGGGCTTGGGGTTTAGGAGGAACTCTTGTAGCACTTTTGACGTTTGAAGGCCTCCTGACCTCCTAGCTTCAAGGACAGTTGGGGGTCCGATTTAGATTCTTGGTTCTAGTATGGTCAGTGTTATTGCTGCAGCAGCTCTTGTTGTTTTGTTGACTTTGGTGTTTGAACTTAAGGCCCTGCATTGCAGCAAGAACCTGCCCGCAGGTCGCTGTGACTTGAATCCGGTTCTGCCCGGCAAATCCGCTGGAGCCCCAAAGCAACAAGGAGATGCGCAGAATGTAACCCAGATGTAGCTTTCAACAGACACTGACCCGAAGCCTGACAAAGCCTGAGCCGGTTTGCTGCAGAACGTCTTCAACACAGGCCGCATCTCAAACGATCCGCGGACTGGCAGAGCTTGAGACTTGGAAGCAGTCGAAGAGCTTTCTGTGCCGGGCTTCGATATGACATGACATTGTGGATAGGGCAAGTAGGGCACAGACTCTCAGGCTCCAATCCAAACACCCTGTGTAACCCCTGAGATCCGCTACTGTATCTATAGGCTCTATATGATTAGACCTTTCAAAGACAATATCCAGATCCCTATCAAGCCTCTACAAAGCCTCGAGATCCTGCTTGCATTGCAAAAGTGCGGTCTAAAGTGAGAGTTCCTGGACCTTGGAAAAGCAGGTGAACTTCAACCCTAGACCCTAAGAGCAAAAAGCCTAAAACCTCGAAGGCCTGAAGCCCTCAAATGTACTGCAGGCCCAGGCAGACTTTCAGGATTCATATCTTGTGAGCACTGACAGCCACAGCCAGAACATCGGAGCTTCAAAACGAAAAGCACAGACCCGGATCAACCCTAAACCCTGCAAGCCCTATACGCCCTGGGAGCCAAAAATAAGCCCTATAAACCCCCTAAGCCCTGAACCCTATGAGCCCTGTTGTTAAACCCTAAACCGAGTGTCCCGACTGTCTCATCTTGGCTTCCTCTTCTCGGGTTGCCATCAGCGTGTCCTGGGAGTCAGAATCAAGCCGCGCGCTGGAACGATTCTAAGGCGCCTCGTATACATCCCACGTGGCAGGATCCCCTCACGACTGTACCCCGAAGTTTCAGACTCCCTTACAGCAGGGTCCCATTTCGCTTTTCCTTCTCCAACCCAACCGCAAAATCGAGGGACGGCCCGGCCAGTACCCGAACCCAACCAAGGAATGGCAAGTGGGCTGTGCACATCAGCACCAGGGATCAGGAAGCCGATGATTTGCCCTTCTTCGGTGGTTTTATTCTGGCTTGAGGATGACTCCATGTTTTGTGTGGTTGGCATCTTTGGCGCAGCGATGGACTTGGAGTGGTCACAGAAGAGGGCCTGCAGATATTATCATTCTACCGTTGCAGCAGAGAGTTCTGCCGAAAGCTAAACACAACTCAACCCTGCAGCACGCGACGCTGCCACAACATGTCCACCTAGCTGCTTACGCTGAGAATCCGTATACCCGAATATATTACCCTAAATGGTAGGATCCGTATTATCAGGACCCCTACAATAGGGTACCCTTAAGTTTCGGAAACTCCCACTTAATCGGCTGTCGGACCTTCAGTCACGCTATGCGGTACGCCGCATAGCGGACGTGTTTGCCACAATTTTCTTTCGGACAGGGGCTACAGCTGCATCTTGCTGCTAACCGGAACAGGCCGCACAATGGGGTTGTTGCAAGAAGCACGTTGCTGTAGCTTTGTACTTGGGCTGGTGTTCAGGCTGCGCCAGCCATGCGACTGGTGGGTGCATAGGGCAAGGACGGACGCTGCTGACAGCTAGTCGGGCCACTATGTCAACACCGGTACTCATTGGTGCGAATCAGTCTTCTCTGCAACCGCAAACATTCACGCGACCAATCGGGAATTGGTTGGACTGGTAAAAGGCTGAAGTGCTTTGTGCCCGTCTGAGCAAAATCTGGGCTCCTTGTTTGCCGTGTCTGCTGGCAGGATGCCCTTCTCCGGCATGTAGATCTACTTGAGGAGTTTCGCAGCCCTAATGGCCCTAATTGTTACAAACAGGATCGTAGAAGCTATAAGCACACAACCTTCCACACTGAAACGCTCGTTTGCCATCGGGACGGGTCGACTCGAAGCTTCAGGAGATGCCGCCGGAAGACTTTGAGGACGGCTTCCTCGAGGTCCGCTGCTAATCTGAACTCGCCTGACGGTTTAGGGTTTCGGCTTTAGGGGTTGAGGGTTTAGGGTTTAGGGGAACCCTAAACCCTAAACACTAGGCTTTAGGGGTTTAGGGGTTGAGGGTTTAGGGTTTAGGGGAACCCTAAACCCTAAACCCTAGGCTTTAGGGGTTTAGGGGTTGAGGGTTTAGGGTTTAGGGGAACCCTAAACCCTAAACCCTAGGCTTTAGGGGTTTAGGGGTTGAGGGTTTAGGGTTTAGGGGAACCCTAAACCCTAAACCCTAGGCTTTAGGGGTTTAGGGGTTGAGGGTTTAGGGTTTACGGGGCTACGAGTTTCGTGGGCGCTGGCCGGCACCTCAGTCCGTGCTGAAAAAGGGTTTAGGGGAACCCTAAACCCTAAACCTTAGGCTTTAGGGGTTTAGGGGTTGAGGGTTTAGGGTTTAGGGGAACCCTAAACCCTAAACCCTAGGCTTTAGGGGTTTAGGGGTTGAGGGTTTAGGGTTTAGGGGAACCCTAAACCCTAAACCCTAGGCTTTAGGGGTTTAGGGGTTGAGGGTTTAGGGTTTAGGGGAACCCTAAACCCTAAATGTGAATCTGAAGATCCGCACGCCAGGTACCGTGGTCGCCGTCCGAAGGCACAAGCGTCGATGTGCTTTGCGAAAAGAGCAAGGCACGCTGCTCAGGGGAAGGGTAGTGATTTTAGATTGGTAGCGGAGCAGGTGTGCTCCAGGTAGTGTAGTCTCCGCTAACTAGTCTGACTTTGTAGAGCGATGGCTGGCGACGATCAAGACGACCAGCCCACCAGCATGTACCAGAGTACTTCTTGGCAAGCCTCCTCCTGGAGCACAAGCTTCGGGCGCGGCTGCTCCCGACTCTGCTGAGTTACCTAGACCCTTTGACAAGGCGATGCATCCTCCGTCGGCTGGAGGTGCGCCGCCTGATCCGTGGGCTGACTACTTGTCATCCAACCAGTCGAGAGCTTGGGACCACTCCTCTTGGCAGTGGCAGGGAAACTCCTGGAACGGATGGCACTCCTGGGACGACGCGAAGATGCAGCAGAACGAGCCACGCGGGGGATACGCGTGGGGTCGTAATTGGAGTTGGGATGCTACCTGGGCTTCGGGGTCTACTGGCTCAGGTGGCGACATCTACCCGGACGGCGAGGAGGAGAAGCACGGCGACGACGGGAGGGCTACTACCACGACCTCCAGGAGATCGGCGATGTTGGCCGCAAGTACATCCACGGCACCGGCGGCTACTACACGTTCGGCGATGGACTCCGAGAGAGGAGAGGAACGAGGTGAAGATCATGGGCGCGGGCCTTCGGAACGAATGCTCGTTCCCAGCTTCTCTGGCGACGTTGGAGCTGGAGAAGGGAGTGATCTGGGATCTACTGCCAGGTCCTACTTGCGACAAGTTGCAGCTTGGCAGAAGATGACAAGGATATCTGCCAATCGCCAGGGGTTGGTGTTATACCAACACCTATCCGGCAAGGCCTGGATAGAGGCCGAGCGCTTGGACATCGACAGGCTCAGTGGGCCGTCAGGATCCGCGTACTTCGTCGAGTGGATCCGTGAAAGGTACCTGGATGTTCAGGTGACCCAGGTCGGGAGGAGCCTCTCAGAGTTCTTCCGCAAATTGCGGAAGAAGCCAGGACAGAATATCCGGGACTACGTCGGCGAGTTCGATCGGGCACAGGCCCGCTTGGAGGAGTGCGGCTGCACTCTTCCGGACATCGCTCTGGCATGGATGTTCGTCGACCGGCTAGGCTTGGATGAACCTTCGGAGCTCAACTTGTTGGCCAGTGTGGGGAACGTGTATGATCTTCGTCGCCTACAACAGGCGGCGACCATCCACGACAGGGCGCTCAGGAAACCTTGGGAAGGCACTACCTCAACTACCAGGCCGTGGCAGCGTCGGCAGGGGCAGTCCGTGCACTACACCGGCAACCACGACCTCGACGACGACTTCCACGGCGAGGACTGCGGCACAGAGAATGCACCTGGAGATGAACCCTTGACTGAGGGCATGGCCGAGGAGCTCTTCACCACCTATATGTCCCACGAGACGGCCAAGCAGAAGTACCGCGACTCCCAGCGCGGTCGCGGGACGGACCCTCAGGCTATGAAGGAGATCGCTGCTGCTAAGCTTCAACAACTGAAAGCTAGATCGTTTTGTGCGGGGTGCAAACGACGAGGGCACTGGCACAAGGACGACGCTTGTCCCTTGAACCAAGGGAAGGGGCTCAAGGACGCTGCTGAGCATGGTGGCGGCGGTGGAGCCGGGCCAAACACCAAGGCATCCTACATGTGCAATGTCGTCTACGTCGCCTGGAACATTGAGGAGGATATCTGCACTGGAGAGTTCGACGCCATCACAGATACAGCCTGCTCCAAGTCTGTTGCCGGAAATGGCTGGCTCGACGAGTACATCGGCAGGCTCGAAAGGATCGGCGAGCGACCCCGGCTACTGCCCAACGACGACAACTTCAAGTTCGGAGCCTCCAGAGTCTTCCACTCCGACCGCGCCTGCATTGTGACCTTCAAACTTGGCCAGGCTGTCGTAGAGGTCAAGGTAGCCATCGTCACAGGCGACCTTCCACTTCTTCTGTCTCGACCTGTGTTGGCGAAGCTGGGGATGATCATGGACGTGGCCCTCAATCGAGCCGACTTCAAGGCAGTCCAGCTAAATCAGGCGACTCTCAAGATGACAGAAAGCGGTCACCCTGCGCTCCCCTTGATCCCAGCTCGTGAGCCGGCCGGAAAGGCGCCAGCTGACTTTTGGTCCGACGGTGAGATCATGATCCACTTGAATCGTGCGGCATATATGGTGTGTGCTTCTAGCAGTGTGCAGGGACCCGATAGCCCTATCGATGAGCCTCGAGTCCCAACAGGTTCCTCTACTACCGCTACTACTACCTGTCAGTCTTCGTCTACGTCGACCACTACCAGGCCCCGGTTGTTTTACCCCAAGAAGATCCCACTCGAGGTCCACAATCTACTTACCGGTGAAACCATCAATGGAGTGTCGTTCATGGCTTGGTGGAAATCCACGAACATAAGCAACGACTTTTGGATAGAGTCCCCGACTACGCTCTACCGCATACATGTCATCCCGAGGCGTACCCTCTTCAACCCTGGCAAGTGGAGCACCCCAGATCAAACCCGGAAACATGAGCTTCTGCACCAGCTCGGGAAAGTACGCATGTGTCAGGGAGTGTCATGCAAGACCGGCCAGAACATGGATCCAGTGTTTGATGTTTGGAGTGCTGATGACCATGATGTTGCTCAACCCGTGCTCTGGATCGGAAGGACTTCTTTCGCTAGGCGCCCGATGCCTGTGACGGGAACTTCCCTTGCAATTCGAGATGGCCACGTCCCCCGCGGCGACGAAGCAGCCATGCGTTTCTCAGATGAACAAGGCGGCCCTGCTCAGCGAGCTCCAACAGAGGAACATGACGGTTCACCCCAAGTGGACAGTACCCGAGCTCCGGAGCATCCTTTCCGAGGAACGGGCCAAGGAGAAGGCGGGCAGCGTACCCAAGGGGCTCAGCAGCATGACCCTCGACGACCTGAAGAAGACGGCCGCGAACCTCAACATCGTGCTCCTGGACAACACGAACCGCGGCCTCATCATGCGCATGATTCGGGACTCCACCGAGGACAAGAGCGAGCACATCATGACCTTCGGCCGCTACAAGGGCTACCTGTACAAGGAGGTCCCGATGGGGTACCGGAAGTGGGCCCAGGAAGAGATCCGTCGCAACACCAATGCTTCGGACGACCTGAGGATGTTCGCAATGTGGGCCGAGCAGGACGAGAACAAGATGACGCATGCGCAGGCCAAGTCCTACTATGCGGACCCGGAGACCACAGCCGTGGTCCCCTACAACCCGGAAGAGGAGAGCAATTGGGAGGTGGTGACCGAGGGGACGGAGTCTTCTTCGAGTGCTACGAGGAAGAGTGCGACCGGACTCCCGATGAAAGGGGGGTACGCGGACCCAAGACCAGCGAGGAGTCAAGGACTACTCCTACCACGGGATGTGAAACCGAAGGCGACCTCGGAGCCCAAAAGGAGGACACGCCCGGCGCAACCAGACCAGGCGACCATGGACCTCGATGCGGACCAAGCGGATGCCCAGGCCCTCGAGGAAATCAGAGCCCTGGAGATGCGCCTAGCTTTGTTGAGGGATCGCCACCATCTACCGCCGAAGCACCAATGAGCAGCGAGACTGAAGGTGACTACCGGGACTGCATTGAGTGCGTTGATGGGCAAAGGGAGAAGGACTACTACGACACGCTCGAGATCAACGAGGTGATGTGCGAGCCCTTCGTGACGGACGAGACCGCCGAGGAGATGAACACTGCGGGGCTTCCACGGCCCAACCACGACCTTGCGGTTGAGCTGGCCTCCTACGCTGCCGCGGCGAACAACGACTTCACCTACCAGACCCTCTTCCGCATCGCCACGCTCCTTCCGGAGGATGCTCGGGTAAATCTCCCACAAAGTGCAGAAGGCAGCGCCGGACGACGAGGGCTTGTCGGCGGAGTCTGGACTCACGGAAAGATGGCTGGCATCACCAACAATGTGGTCGTGTTCCCTTGGTTCGTCAAGTACCTCAGCGGATGGGCGAGCCACCATGGAGTCGCTTCGTGGACCAGCTTCATGTTGACAGAGAATGTTAGCCATGGCGTACACTCTGACAACCACAACCTCCCTGGCTACCCGAACATCACCACCAGCTTCGGTGAGTTCAACGGCGGTGAGCTGTGGATGGAAGTCAAGGAGGCCGAGCGGACCCCCGACGAGACCTACGTGTGGAGGCAAGGAAGCGATGGCAAGGAACGGCCGGGTAGACTCACCTCCACCCAGCGACGGATCGTGAGCTTCGACCCGAAGGTACGACACGCCACTCAACCATGGAGTGGCACAAGGTGGTGTTTGACCTTCTTCGCTTCACGGGGAATTGCTGCTCTTGATCGCAACGGACGGGAACTACTACGCCGCCTGGGGATGGTGCTCCCGGATCTTCGCAAGCGACCTCCGCTACTTGATGATCGGCCACCAGCCGGAAGACCCGCTAAGCGGAGCGCCAGGAAACTAATCCACCGTACTTCCAAACGTTTGGGGGCACTGGCCACCTGGTCCATCATGGCGGCTAGCTCCTTCCTCGAGGCGCATCTACCCACTCCCGGAGGACCTGATGGCGTTGCTCTATGTGAAGTGGGAGGCACTACGAGGACCGAGGAAGCCGTGGATGCTGACTACCTGGCAACGGAACCGCTGGACCAGGCCTACATCCTGCGAGAAGGAGGCCGCACACGCGGCCTAGAGCTTATTCGGACTCTGCGCCCGAGCACGTTGTGGATCCATGGAGACGCTGTTGACCTTTGTGAAGACGCTGTCAGCGACTACATCCAGGAGCAGCTCGACGCGAGTCGCCGAGTCGTGGTGGACGCGGCCCCCGACGGCAACTTCTGGAGGACTGGGTTCGGAGTACGTCTTCTACAAGATCCTACAGCGACCTTGTACGAGGAAGCGGGACTGAAGACGGTCGAGTTCAACAGCACCCGTGCGGACTGGAACGAAGCCACTGAGTCTATCTACCCGGGCACGATCAACGTCTACATGGCGCAGACGAGTGGCGAGAGTCCGCCACCCGCGGAAAAGGAACCCCGAGGGGCTTCTGCTATCTCGTTCCCTGGAGAACCCCGAGTCAAACCGGAAGTGGCCTCTGCTCTACGTCGTCTTCATGCCAATCTCGGCCACCCGTCACAACATGATCTTACTCGACATCTTCGCTTGGCCGGCGCGGGGCCTGAGGTCATACAAGCCTCAAAGCGTCTGAGCTGCGAGACCTGTAAGAGATGTACCACAGCCGCGAGCGCACGACCCGCTACACTGCCGAGCCTACTTTCCTTCAATCAGGTCGTGGGAGTCGATGTTTTCTCGGTGGTGGATTCTACGGGTCGGCGGGTCGAGATGCTTTCAGTCTTCGACCATGGAACCTCTTTCCACGTGGTCGGGGAGCTCAGAGGACATAGCACCGAGGCGATGGAGCAGACGTTCTGCGAAGTCTGGACAAGGACTTTCGGGGCCCCGGGCACCATTGCCCTAGACCTGGAGTCCGGCCTTCAGGCTGGACTCGCACGCTACAGCTCCTGGCATGGATGTCACCTACGATCGATCGCTGGGCAAGCTCACTGGCAACTCGGTGCCACCGAACGACATGGGGGTCTTTGGAAGGCCATCTGGAAGAGGGTCTGTGATGACCTTAGCTTGAGAGAAGAAGATGTTCCCATGGGGATCGCCGCGGTCAACGATGCCAAGAACCAGCTTCGCCGGATCAGCGGATATTCACCGGCACAGGCCGTCTTTGGCCGGGACCCCTACATCCCCGGCGACCTGCTTGACGAGAAGGACGGGGAACAACAGGAACACTTGATCAACCACGACCTTCAGCGGGCACGGGAGCAAGCGATTCGTCTGGCAGCCAAGGGGGCCTACTTTCGGGCCCAAGGTGATGCCAAACTTCGCCGAGCACTCCTTCAGCGATCTCGTGTTGCTGGAGAGGAACTACACCCTGGCGACCTTGTCTTCTTTCTGCGGAAGCCCAAGAACACGAAGGACTGGTCTTGGAAGGGGCCAGGCACTGTTGTGGGGCACGAGCACCAGAACCTCTGGATCTCCTTCGGAGGGAGGTGCCACCTGGTAGCGCCCGAACACACCAGACGGGCCACAAATGAGGAGACTGGGAACGCCTTCATTCTGAAGACCACCAAGGACGACCTCCAACGCCTCGCCGAGTTCGACCCCGACGATGAGGAGATGTATGAGAGTCCTGAACGTCCTGGAGATGACTACGTCCCGGACGAAATGTTGGACATCCTCGATGAGACTTCTGTGTTTGACGAAGAGATCGAGCTCCCGGGCGAGGACGAGGTCGAGCTCCCGGGCGAGGACGAGGACACTGCCATGAGGAGTGTTCGTGAAGATCCTCCCCAACTCCCGTCAAGGGGACCACCAAAGAGGATGAGACAGAAGGGGCCCGAGCACGTGAACATGCTCAAGCGGGCTACCACGGCACGAGGCCGTGAGAAACAGCTCGAACGAGAGTTGCCGTGGCACTGCATACCTCCCGAGAAACACGCCGATTTTCGCCGCGCAGAGGACAAGCAGTGGAGCGAGCATTTGGAACATGGTGCAATGAAGCCAGTCGACGTGGAGACCAGCAAGAAGATCTTGGCCGAGAAACCAGAGAGGGTGTTGCCAAGCCGGTTTGCATACCGCGATAAACACTGGGCCAAAAGAAAGACCAACCCGGACCTGGACTGGAAATGCAAGGCGAGACTGGTCATCGGAGGACATGTCGATCCGGATATCACTTCCGGATTGACTACAAGCGCTCCGACAGTTTCCCGTCAAGGAGTGCTACTGCTTTGTCAGATCCTTGCTTCGCGAAGGCAAAGAGGATGGAGTGCCAGCGCCGGTGATATTACCTGCGCCTTTCTGAACGGCAACGAGCTCAAGCGAGAGCTGTACATTCGCCAGCCCCGTGGAGGACTAGGTGACCTTCACCCTGATCAGATCGTGCAGCTCACCAAAGGAGTATTCGGGCTGGTCGACTCCCCGAATGCCTGGTACGAGAAGCTGCAGGGCACGATCCTCGCGCTCGACATTTCGCTCTCTGATGGCCGACGCGGATACTTTGACCAGTGCCCCCTCGATCCGTGCATCTTCCAGTTCAAGGTGAAGGACCTCGATGGGAACTCTGGTGCCCCTGAGGCGTACGTGGCCGTTCACGTCGACGACCTCTTGATGGTTGGAGATCGGGAGCTGAATCGTCAGCTCAAGGACGCACTCTCCAAAGCCTTTCCAGTTGATGACTGGGAAGACGACAGCTTCGAGTACACGGGCTCCACCTTTACGATCGACGAGAACGGAGTGACGATCACCCAGGAGAGCTACGCGGACACACGACTGTTCGAGCTGGAGATAGAGCCTGCGGCGAGTGACGAATGCCCCGCAAGTGCGGAACAGAGGGCAGACAACAGAAGCCTGATCGGGGCTCTGTCGTGGATTGCTGGACAGACCCGGCCGGACCTACAGACCGGAGTCTCAATGGCTCAACAGCTTCAGCGGGAGCCGACCATCGGGGACGTCCGCTTCACCAATTCCCTCTCGAGGAAGGCGAAGCAGTACCGAACATGTGGAGTCCACCTGACACCAGTGGACCTCGAGAACTGCGTGCTGCTGACCTACCACGATGCCGCCTGGGCAAATGCACCTCAGGACCCTGATGACCCGTACTACCAGCTGACGCCCGAGGAGGACATCTGCGGAACGATGAGAGAGGGGCCCTTCGCCTCAAAGGACCGGAAGCCCAAGCGGGGAAATTCGAGGATAGCTTCGCAGCTCGGTGGCATCTACCTCCTCGCCGACTCTAAGATCTTGGATGGAGACAGCTGCAACACCAGCCTTCTCGACTGGCGGAGCTGGGCCTGCGATCGGGTGTGTCGCTCTACTTTTGCGGCAGAGACTATGGCCTGTGCTAGCGGAATCGAGAATGCGCAATACATCCAGAGCTTTATGGCTACGCTGCTGGCCGGAGTCCTTGTGCGCCCCAAGAACAGCCCCATCAAGACCCGATTCATGAGTGACTGCCGTAGTCTCTACGACCATCTCAAGAGGGTAGGTTTACCCAGAGTTCCTTCTGATCGCCGGCTCGCCATAGATCTGGCAGCCATACGGTGTGATTTGAAGCTCGGAGGAAAGCTGTCATGGGTTCCCACCCAGCTTCAACTTGCGGATATCATGACGAAGCCCCTCCGGGCAGAGAATTTCTGGAAGGCTCTGAAAGAGCCTTTAAAACTTCCCTTTAGAGAGGATAGAGATTTTGAAGGCGTGTGAATCTGAAGATCCGCACGCCAGGTACCGTGGTCGCCGTCCGAAGGCACATCGACGCTTTGCGAAAAGAGCAAGGCACGCTGCTCAGGGGAAGGGTAGTGATTTTAGACTAAACCCTAGGCTTTAGGGGTTTAGGGGTTGAGGGTTTAGGGTTTAGGGGAACCCTAAACCCTAAACCCTAGGCTTTAGGGGTTTAGGGGTTGAGGGTTTAGGGTTTAGGGGAACCCTAAACCCTAAACCCTAGGCTTTAGGGGTTTAGGGTTTAGGGTTTAGGGGAACCCTAAACCCTAAACCTTAGGCTTTAGGGGTTTAGGGGTTGAGGGTTTAGGGTTTAGGGGAACCCTAAACCCTAAACCCTTTAGGGGTTTAGGGGTTGAGGGTTTAGGGTTTAGGGGAACCCTAAACCCCTAGGCTTTAGGGGTTTAGGGGAGGGTTTAGGGGAACCCTAAACCCTAAACCCTAGCTTAGGGTTTAGGGTTGAGGGTTTAGGGTTTAGGGGAACCCTAAACCCTAAACCCTAGGCTTTAGGGGTTTAGGGGTTGAGGGTTTAGGGTTTAGGGGAACCCTAAACCCTAAACCCTAGGCTTTAGGGGTTTAGGGGTTGAGGGTTTAGGGTTTACGGGGCTACGAGTTTCGTGGGCGCTGGCCGGCACCTCAGTCCGTGCTAGGGTTTAGGGGAACCCTAAACCCTAAACCCTAGGCTTTAGGGGTTTAGGGGTTGAGGGTTTAGGGTTTAGGGGAACCCTAAACCCTAAACCCTAGGCTTTAGGGGTTTAGGGGTTGAGGGTTTAGGGTTCACCGAGCTCTAAGAAACAGATAAAATTGTAATTTCTGCTAGGGTTCTGATGTCAGTATAGGATTGGCAGCGCTGGGTTGAACAACTGATGCAGAAGAAGCTTAGGTAGCTTGCTTGAGACCCAGTGAAAACCCCTAGGCCCACGAACTTCTTGCAGGTGCCTTTCCCTGCTGAGTCACATAGGGGTGGGCTACAACGCCGAATCTCCGAATATGAGTTGCCGCTTGGCTGTCGATCAGTGGGCTTGTAGGAATAAGAAAGCAAGAAGAAGAAGGGTAATAACAATAGCACCAAAAGTTCTAGACATAGTAATATGGTAGGCTGAGTGGGATTATGAACTCGACAAGTTCTGGCTATGGCGGGCTGCGAGTAGATAGCGATTTTCACATGCGCCGCAGCTCCCAGGTGCGAAATGTAATTATTCAGGTTCAGGGTTTAGGGTAGGTTCAGGGCTGCGGGGTTTGGATTTCAGGGCTTCAACTCAGGGTGTTTTTAGGATTGCAGGCTCAACCCAGGTCCCCGCCGCGTCAACAAAGTTGGGGGCCCAGCTCGGAACCCTAACTTTTGGTTATGTTCCGAACTTCAGCGCAGTTGAGGTCGAAAACCCCCGTTTGGTGCCGACACTTCCCACCGTTCTGTGCGGCGTCACTAATATAGGGGCCTGGGTGGTTTCCAATAGCTTTTTCTTTGGGGTTCCTTATTGCAGCTATAGTATAATCTACTCCAAAACCCTATTCTAATTCTTACACGGTCCCAACATTAACATGTTCCACAGCAAAGCAAGGCTATGGCTTCGGCGAGAGGTGTCTCTGCCCTCGGACTGGCGGAGGGCCCTTTGTCAGTTATGGGCTTGACTGAGGGAAGCCCAAACCCAGTTTGGGGGGTTTTGTGTTTCAGGGTTCATACCTAGTAGTCGAATAGGTAACCTTTAACCTTTTTGGGGTAGTATAGTCCCTATATAATCCCTGCATAACCAAAAGGTTAACCTTTAGTTCCCCGTGATACCCGACAAGTAGGTAATATTCGGGCCCAAATAATTACCAATACTATTTTGGGGTTCTTTATTTTAAGTATAGTATGATGGGCCCCAAAACCCCAAAAAGCATAGCTCTTATAGCTCTCAGAGACGAAGCCTAGCGATCCAAGTTGTCCGGGAAGTGAGTTAAAAAAGGGGGGGCCTGGGATTCCAACCAGAGATCCTATCACAAATCCACCGAGAAGGAGCCTGCCACCGAAAGCAAACTGAATGCCTTTGGGGGGGGTGGGGGGGGGTGGGGGGGGGGGGTGTTAGGTCAAGACTAGCATCCTTCGCACTAGAGTCTCTGAAAGGTAACACTAGTTGTAACTAAATCTGAGATCAACTGGAGGTCCTGCTGCATGTGGATGCGTCCCTGGGCTGCATGTTCAAGTGCATCCAGCAGCTGCATGGCATCACCATGGCGCTAGTGCTTCGGGGTGCCGTGATGCAAGTGCTTGTCAAGTTCTTTTCCTGAATCCGGGTGGGCGGAGTATGGCGGAGTCACCAACCCCAAGTGCTTGTCAAGTGTTTTTGGAGGTTCAGACGCTTCCCACCCTTGAGTGCTTCGTGCTTGGCTAGTTTCCGAGAGCATATTGAGTTCGCTACAGCCTTCTCCGGCTCCCATCTTTCGTCCTGTATCATGATGTGGGAGGGACCCGTGCAGCATAACAAGAACTTGAAGCGCTGGATGTCCTCGTTTGTCCTCGCTACAGAATGTCTTGCGGCATGCGTCCGCTCAACTGGCGTGACATCCGCTGGGCAAAGGCGCGGGCCTGATGCATGCTACGGATAGTGTCTTTGCATGAAACTGAGCTGCCGACATTTTCTTGTCGATTCCTGATGATCTCCTCGTCTTCGAAAGCATGCTTAACATGAACTTGGCCGTACGTAGCAAACCACACAGAGTCCCCTAACCCCCATCCCAAACCCTACAGAACCCTACTAATTAGTAGCCTAGCCTTACAACCGCTCTTCTGATATCCGGCCTGAACCTTGCCTCGTCGGATTGCCCGAGTGCGAGCGCCGAAACCCTAGGTGCGACTGGGAGTGTGCCGTCTTCGCAGACGGAAGCCTGCTCGGCATTCACCGAGGTAGGGGGCAGGTTCAGGATGTTTGGGGGCATTTGGGGTCGTGGTCTTGAGTCCAGTAGCAGAAAGGGCATTGAGTTTGCAGGGGTCGTGCAGCAGGGTTTGATAGGGTTGTGTTGTTGCTCTTTGTCGTCATGGGGTTCGCGGGGCGTGATGGGGCACTTCGGAAACGAGGGGTTAAGATTTAGGGCCTTGGTTTTATAGGACCCTAAACTCTAAACCACCGCAAACCTGAACCCCTGACCCTCAATCCTAAAGCTTAGAACTTGGATTCTCGGTCGAGAGCGTAGGACCGGTCTGCACATCTTGTATCCTTTCAGCAAGATGAAGCAGGTTTAGGGTTTACGGCTGAGAGCTTACGGTTGAGGGTAAAGGGTCCCTCACCCCTAAATCGTGGCATTGGGCTCGGCTTGGCGTCAAACGTAGAATTTGCATAGTCCAGTGGTTCAAGTTTTCGACAATCAGTTGGTTAGTGTTCAACGACACTGATTTCAAAGCGACTTAGATACTGATTCTTCCTTTACCGCTGCTGTCGGGCCAGCTGCTTTGGTGGCGCAGCCGCCCAATGACATGTGAAATGGCGAAGCACGCACGTCGTGCAGAAGGTTGGGGCGTGCAAGGTCCTGATGATACACGGGAACTCTGCGGCTAGGAGGGCCCTGGGACGTTGTGTTTTTCCTTTACTTGGCTTAAGCTTAGGCTTTGGGGTAGTTAGGATATCATTCACTAATAACTCACTTTTTTCCGTCGCTTCAACTGGCTAGCCTAGGTTGTCTGAACACACCCCGGCGTCCTGACTTCCCCACCTCCATGCTCGCTCACAGCTTGGTGAGCCTGCCAACACCGCAGAAGCCGGAGGAGGTCAGGGATGATATGGACGTGGAGCCATGGTCTGAAAGCGAGTTTGAGGTAGGAACGATAGACCCGGGGCTCCCGGGCTCATCTGGGATGGCCACGACCTGTCCACCCTCCAGCTCCATGGGCTCGCAAGCCCTCGACACGGACTCACCAGACATGGTTCTTGAGCCTTCGCCGCCCTCGAAGTCCTCGAACTTCTATGCCTCTTTCGACTCAGGAGTCATCCTTGCTGAGCTCCCTGAACATGTGCCGCGAGCCCCGGACGGCAGAACTCACCAGAAATATGTGCAGTACTTGGACCAGTACTTGCAGGACATGCAGCTGGACAAGCGCGGCTTCAGACTTGCGGTGCTTCGCCGACGTCGGCGTGATTTCCTGGCGGACAGCTTGCAGGCGAGATGCGCCTCGCTCTTGCCAAGCATGTCTCGGCGCAGACCTGCGCAGGGCCTGGGGAGTAGAAACAGCCCTCGCTAAAAATGCGTGTGTGCGTTTCAGCCAAATTTTGGTGCATGCTTTCTTTCTCTGCTATGCGGTTCCCGTTCTGTCGAGGCATGATGTCCTTGCTACGACAGAATGTCTTGGCCAGGCTTGGGTCTGAGCAACAATCGGGTACAGTTTAGGGTTTAGGGGTTTAGGGTTTAGGGTTTTCTGGTGCAAACTCGGTGCTGCTGATGTGCGGCTCCTATGCAAGCATTGCAGCGCGACGGCTCGATTTTCCAACAGCGTTTTGCACCCTTAGCTAGGTTACCAAGCTCGGTCAGCGTGTCGTATGGTCTCTTAGCTTGCAGCTAGGTTTGGTATCGTAGGGGTACTTGGAAATAATTTGTATTTTTTGGTTATTATAATCCCTAAGAAACAGCTAAAAATTATGATTTTTGCTAGGGTTCTAAGTTCAGTATAGTATGCATGGGCTGGAATCCTCAACTTGGAAGCCTAGCTATCTGCAACATATCGTTGTGCGAGTCCGCCAACATGGCTGACTTTCCGATGGTCAACCATGTTCGTGCCGAAACTTACCAAGCTTCCACGTGCAGGAACGGCAAGAGCCGTTGCACTTCAAAGTTCCCTTGTTTAGAATCTAGACCGTACATTGCTAGCATGAAACGCATCAGTGTTTATAACTCACCATGAAGCCTTGCACTAGCAGTCACCGGGGTGACGAGGACGCGACTCAAACATCACAAAGGTGTTGAGCTCGGAGAGGATTCACTGGGAGCTGTTTTTTTTGAGCGGGGTTTGAAGAAGTTGGTCCCCCGAGGTGCAGGCCGCATCGACCGGCCAAACTTTTGGTCCGTTTCCATGTTCCTCTGCAAAGTGGTCCAGGTGCTGTGGGTTACAATAGGATTCAGTAGGAGGGATTGACTTTCCAGCAAGACCAGCAGACCACCCACCTTGCAGCATCATTGAGTTCGTAAGGCAGACGCTTCCGAAGCACGTCTGCAGCTTTTCATTATCCTCACATTTTGGGGGAGATGTCCGGCAAGCCTTTTGACAGAAAGACCTGGCTTGGAGCACGAAATGTGCGTCATCACTGCAATCTGATGCGCAGGCCGGGGATTTTTGTTCTTCCCACAAGGAAGACTTGGCTTTGAGGATTCTTGCCTTGCACAAAACCCTATTCGAATTACAAAGGCCCCCATATTATAGAACCCTATCATAGATCCCTTATATCCCTTACAGGGAACTCCAGAAAGTTGGAATATGGTTTCATGGTAGGATACCCTATATTTTACCATAGAAGGGTTAGGATAATCATATTCCAACTTTCTGGCTTTTACTTTATAGTAACCGTTATCGAGCCCCTTTAGAGCGGCCCGGTCAGCCTTCGTGCTTAGAGAGAACCCCCCCCCGGCCGTTGAGGTTGGCCTGTTCTGGATGAACACCTGGGTGGTTGTCAAAATTAGGGTCCTGTGTGGGCCCTTATGATAATAGGGCACCTAATATGTAGGGTACCCCAAACAGGGGCCATAATTTTGGCAACGAGAAGCCCGAATAACTGGTAGCAGTAATTATTGCCGATGGCCTTATATCAACTACAGCCATAAAGCCAATAGCCAAATTGAAATATGCAGGACCCCATATAGCCCTAAACCCCTAGGCTAAGAGCCCGATCTTAAAGGACACCATGTTTTGGAACCTCAGGCTTACCGTGCTGTTCGTAGGTGACGCAGGCAGAT